CCTCCCACCCCCTCCTCCCCCAGCCACCAGTCTACTTTCCACCTGTGGGTTTCCCCATTATGGACTTTCATATGCACGGAATCGGACAACGTGTGGCCTTTAGGGACTGGCATCTTTCACTGAGCCTAATGTTTTCAATGTGTATCTTTGTTGTAACACGTGTCAGAGCTTCATTCTTTTTTATGGTTCAATAATATCCCACCTTACGTGTCTGCCATGTTTTGTTATCCATTCAGCTATTGGTGGACATTTGGCTTTCTGAGTCATGTTGCTATGAACATTTGTCCTCACGTGTTTGTGGACGTGTTTTTCATTTTCTCCAGCGTGTATCTAGGAGAATTGCCAGAGCAGATAGCAACTCTGTGTTTAATTGTTTTAAGACTGTTTTTCAAACTGGCTGCATCATTTTGCGTCCCCACCAGCAAGGGGTGAGGGCTCCGGTTTCTCCACATTCTCACCACTAACACCTGTTACTGTTTGTCTGTCTTATTCTCACCGTCCTCCTGGGTGTGACGTGGGACCTCACTGTGACTTGAATCCGAAAAAGTCACTCTTAAGATTGAGGCCAGAGAGCCTGGCTTCCTGGGTGAGGGCCATCCTAGGGCAGGGCTAGCACCTTCCTGTAAAGAGCCAGATGGTGATAACTACTGAGGCCTTCCAACCTCAGTGCCGTTGAAGCACGGAGCATCCAGAGAAGGTATGGGGGTTCCGGTAAAGCTTAAACTTTATTATGGAAACTGAACACGGAATTTAGTGTCATTTTCACGAGTCATAAAGTCTTTTTCCCTCAATCATGTAAAACTGTGAACTTTGCTCTTAGCTTGCAGGCTATACACAAACGTGGGACTGGCCAGACTCGATCTAAGGGCCAGTTCGCTGACCTTGTTCTAGATCAGTGTTTCTCAAGTTTGTGGAGTCTAAGAATCGCCTGGGGCCTGGTTAAAACTGAGTGCTGCCCCTCCTTCCAATATTTTGACTCAGCAGGTCTGGGTAGGGCCTGAGAATCTGCCTTTCAGACCAGCCCCAGATGGTGTCTGGGCGTCAGTTTCAGAGACTTCACTGTGGGTAGGGAGGGTCTATATTAATCATTAAAGATGGATGGGTCTGGGGTAGGGAGGCTTTGGGAGCTAGGAGGAGTTAGGGCAGCAATCTCGGGAGGAAGGCTAGCCCCAGTGTTCCTGGGGCAGAACTCACTGTGCCAGGAGCCCAGGACCACCCCGAGGTTCAGAGATTCATTGGGAGGACTCCCAGGACTTAGCATGTCAAATGCTGGGGGCTATGATTTATTACATCGAAAGGCCACAGTCTGGCTAGGAAGCTGGTCTCACAGAGACGCCGTGCTCTGCAGTGGTGCCTGTGGTTGAGGCCTGTGGGGGGCTGTGTGTCTCTCCCTCATTACTGCCTGTGATGGGCTGAACTGTGTCCCCTCAATTCATGAGTTGAAGCCCTGACCCCCAGCACCTCAGAAAGTGACTGTATTTGGAGATAGGATCTTTAGAGAGGTGATTAAGGTTAAAAGAGATCATTGGGATAGGTCCTAATCCAACGAGTCAGTCATCCCCATAAGAAGAAGAGATTAGGACACAGACAGGCATAGAGGGACAACCATGCTTGGAGATGGGGGAGGCCTTGGGAGGAACCAGCCCTGCATGCACCTTGATCTCAGCCTCCAGCCTCCAAGACTGCTGTTGGAGCCACCCAGTCTGTGGTACTTTGTCACAGCAGGCCCAGGACACGAATGCACTAAGTGTGCAATGGAGATATACCAGCCCTGGTTGGAAGGAGGTTCCCACCCTTGGCCTGCAGAATTTTTGTGGCAGCCCAGCCTTCCTTGAGCAAACACCTGCACAGGACACAGCCAGAGGCTGCCAGCATCTAGTAAACAGGCAAGCTGGAGGGGACAGTTCTGAGCTGGGGAGCTCTTGGACCCTCCCTGCCTAACCGCCTGACCCCGAAGGTATCCGGTTAACAGGGTCAATCAGATTCCTCGTCTGACAGGCTCACCGTCCTATATTATTCACCTGGTGTCTTTCACAGAACATGCAGACGTGCGTTTGCCCCTGGCCAGACGTCCCAGGGGCCAAGCCACCCCTGCAGAATTGCTTTGACAGTTGTTCCAGAATCAGGATGGCTCCCGCTCGCGCCCACAGGCTGCCAGCAGAGGGCGCCGTCACCCTCCTCCGGGCCCTGCAGCCTGGCTGTGGAAGGGCTGGAGGGAGCCAGGCTCCCCACCCCGGGGCCCAGCGGAGGGCTGTAGGGATAACATGCCTTCGGTTTTTACTTACGTGCTTGGAGGCACATACCTTGGAGGCCTCCCGTGGCGTAAAGGACACCGGGAGGAATTCTCACGGGTGAAGTGCGGGGTATCTGTGGTATGGCCCCACCCTGGTGAACTGGGGGCCGTTGGCCTGCCCCCATCTGAAGCTCTGTGGACAGGGGTTCCACATGGCAGGCGGGTCCCCCCAGGATGCTCACGTGTCTGTCTGCCTGCCCCTGAGTACCTGTCGGCGCCCAGAGCAGGTTGAAAACCTGGGCCCATTTCTGATTCACGATGGGCTCTTGGCCACGATTTGATCTAAAGCTTGCTTTGGCTGCATCTCAACCTCATGGGGGAGAAGGGCAGGGCTGGGACATGACAAGCCCCAACCTGCCAGGGTACCCAGTGATCAAACAACTCAGGCTGGACCAGGGAAACATCTATAAGCTGCCAAAGCAAGTGACTGTGGCATGTGGGGACACATCCCCAGGTGCCCCCGCCAAAGACGGAAGAAGTTACACAGTTGTGTGGGTCCGGCGTGTCCCTTTCAGAGTATCCCTCTCCACATCCTGTCAACGTGACAGAGGTTCCACAGGTGTGCCTGGGCCAGCCTGGAGCGCTGACGCCTTCATTGCCTTGGATTAATTCCAGAGGGAACTGGCCGTGGGAGGTGTGACCCCTGATGTCATAACAGCGACAGACTGTGTCAGGGCCAGGTGTGCTGCCAGGGGTGCCTTGAGGCTGGGTGGCCTCAGTCGGTCCCTATGTGAGCCCATGGGGAGGGGACCTTCTGCCTGCGTCGCCAAAGTTGTCTGGGCTGCGTTGGGCCGTCGGGTGAAGCTGTCTCGTCCCTGTGTCCGTGTGCCCGTGTGCCCGTGTGCCCAGGCCCTGAGCGCTCTGCTCTCCCGCAGGCTACGCTCACTGGAAGGGCCAAGTGCTGAACGCAGATGAGCTCCACGAGGTGTACGAAGGTCTGAAGCTGAACCATGTGAATAAATATGACTATGTGCTCACGGGTAAGGCCCCAAGGGGGTGGCGCTGGCGCTGGAGCCTTGCTGCAGCTGGGGTGGGCTCGGGAAGTCCCAGAGCACACACACCCCCCCGCGCCCCAGGCTCGTCCTTGGTCCCTGCCTCCTCCAAGGAGGGGTGGCGCATGCCGCCGAGAACTGGGTCCTGTCCATGCCAGGTCGCACTTCTGGTACCACCCTGGGTTGCAGTGCGCATGGGGCGGGGTCAGGTGGGGTGTTGGGAAGGGGTTGGGGGTGAAAACGCCCAAGTAACACGCTGCCACGTGGTACGTTGGTCTTATTTACTCACACCCTTGGTTAAAAAAAAAGTACCTGACTATGTACGTGGTTAAAAGTGAATGTGCTTATTGCTGGACCGAAGAACATCCTGTGTACAGCTATCACCCGTGGCTTCTTCCTGTCATTTAAAACTCAGCACTTCTTTTGGGAAGCACCCGGCGACCCTGGCGGATGGCGTTTGTTGGGCGACACTTGGTCTTCACCCCAGCCTTGGGATGGTTTTGACGGTGCCTCTTTTCCCTTTGTCGCGGCCGGTTGCCGAAGCCTCCTGTTTTCTGAGGGCGGCTGCTCTTTCTCCCCCAGGGTACACAAGAGACAAGTCCTTCCTGGCCATGGTGGTGGACATCGTGCGGGAGCTGAAGCAGCAGAACTCCCGGCTGGTGTATGGTAGGCGCTGGGCTGTCACCTGGGGTGGGGTCACCCGGGCGCCTGGGCGAGGACACCCAGCCTCCCTCTTGCTGGGCGGCCTGACTTCACGGTCCACCTCCCAGCCTGTAAACACTGAATCTGCCAGGTCTCCCTCCGGGGATGTGAACCTTCAGATCTTGGGCTAGACAAGCCTTCAGCATGAGCCTGGCGTTTGTTGGGGCGTGTGAGGCAGGCAGGTTGTAGACGAGCTGTGCCAGTGTCAGTGTGCGAAGGCAGGGCTGCTGCTCCCTGCAGTGGGGGATATGTGATGCCCCCAACCTCCTAGAGGGATGAAGGGGGGGTGGATGCCCGGGGTGGCCCGGGTGACAGAATGGGGAATGCCAGGTAACGAGTGATTGAGGGTGGGAGGCCGTGCTCTCCCAAGCTTTCAGGTGCAGGTGAAGTTTAACAACCCAAAGCCGGCTCTTTGCTCACCAGCTGCAGCTTTCGCTGATAAGATGCCCTTTGTGTCTCCGCAGTGTGTGACCCGGTGATGGGTGACAAGTGGGACGGCGAAGGCTCCATGGTTAGTAACTTCACGCCTGTGTGAGTGTGGGGAGCGCTGCTGTGGGGGAGGCGGGACCCCTGTTGGGGGGAGGCAGGGCTGGCGGGAGAGGTTTCCCATGAAAGGCCGGAGAGTCAGGGAGGCCACACGTCCCTGTTGTAGCCCAAAGCAGCCGATTTGCAAACCAGCTGTTTTCTAATAAAATGGCACGTACGGACAGATTTGAACTTCCTGCCATTCCCACGTGTCATGAAGCGTTACCCCAGCCGTGAGTGTTGCATCCCCTGCTCTGTGTGCGTCAGCCTGTGTGCCTCTCTTTCCTCAGTACGTTCCAGAGGACCTCCTTCCCGTTTACAAAGAAAAGGTTGTGCCCGTCGCAGACATTATAACTCCCAACCAGTTCGAGGCTGAGTAAGTGATTAGCAAATTGGGGGGGGGGGCTCTCAGACCTCCTCGTGGGAGAGCGACAGAGACGGTGCAGGACGCGTCCCCACATCCCCTCTGGGGCGGGTACTCAGCTCCTCGGAAGGCCCTGCCTCAGGAGAGTGGAAACCTGGCACCGGGGTGGGGGGCAGGCCATTCCTGAGTTGGAGCCACCTGCCCCCCTGCGTGCCAGTGTGACGAGACGCCCTGGCCCAACCTGGCTTCTTTCGAGTCAGCGGTAGCATGTGGTTGTTTTACCCCGACTCCCTACAGTGGTCATGCTGACCCCAGTTGTTTCCCTGAAGAGCGGGAGCCTTGGGGACAGAATGGGGGGGAGGTGCTCTGGCACGTGGCTGCCACAACCACGAGGGGAAGAGTCCATGCCAGCCGGCGCGGGCAGTCACCCGAGCTCTGAAACCCACATCCCGTGCGGTTAGAGGAGCGTGCGGCCCCCCGCCCAGTATCAAGTTCCAAGGATCGTTCTTGGATTGCCAGGCCCCACCGCATGCATGGAAGAGCTGGGCACCAGGGGTGTAACGGGGCTTCCCAGGGCTGTGGGGTGTGCAGCCGAGCGCCCAGGCGGTTGAAGTTTGGCTCTGTTGGACCGCCGGCTTGGTACCCTCTGACTCCCAGGCCATTCTTTAAAGTAGGGGGGGTCCTGGACTCTTGAGGACCTGGGGTTCCCTGACCCAGGCCTGTCCATCCTGGGGATGACAGATCACCTCGAGGACCTTAACCTTTGGTGGGCTCTTGTGAATGTGGCACGTTAACCATCGGCGGCTGTGGCTTTCTGTGGGTGTGGGTCACCCTTGGTGGCCCTGTGTGCTGTGATGTGGTCACTAAGGGGGCGGGTGCTGCTGTCCTTTATGTTGTTCCCTGTACACATTAACCACAGTCTGGAACTTCAGCACACCCTGTGATGTGTGAGTTCATGTGTAAAACTAAAGGTTTCGCTTGACCGGTCCCCGGACACATCATGGTGGCCCCTTGGTCTGTGATGGCCCGTGATGGCCAGCAGGTTCTGGGTTTGTTCCCTGTGGGAATCGGGGGTGGGGTACCAGTGCCACTGTAGCTTTAGGGATGTTACAGGCAGGACCCAGCATCACCGGCTCGCCTGTGCCTGCCTGTCTTTCAGGTTACTGAGTGGCAGAAAGATCCACAGCCAGGAAGAGGCCTTGGCGGTAAGGAGACCTTCCAGGTCCTGGAGTGGGACAGAGGGCACTGCTCACGATGAGGAGGGGACAGCCACTCACCCGTGGAGACGGGAGACGGGCACCCCCAGTGGCCAGCATCCCAGCTTCTGGTCAGCTAACCTGAGGGCTGGGGGATGCATTGTAAATTTTGTTTCGGCCCCGCGGTTGGTCACTTGTAGCTTCGAGCTTGCAGCTTCGTGAGGTCTGGGTGAGCCCACTGTCTGCTCTGCCCATAATGGCAGTCCCTGTCCAAGCTAACTAGGGTGGCTGCGACAAAGTCCCACGGCAGGGAACCAGGTGGGGAGCCCTCCTCCCGCTTTGAGGGCCTCCGAGCCAGATGACCCTGGGGTGGGAAAGAAACAGCTCGCGGGTACAGGTACCCCTCACTGTGAGAACCAGAGGAAATTCATGAGGAGCACCCCCACAGTGCTTGGCGCAGGGTGGGTGCTGGGTAGCCGGCCTGCCCCGTGTGTGCACATGTGTGCGTTCGTGGCGGGGACACATCTCCCACAGCCCACACTCAGCTCCACGGCAGAGGGTGCCCACTCGCACGATCACTCGCAGGTGCACAAGGAAGACAGGTCCTCCTACAACCCCTAAAGAAAAGCTGAATTAAAGAGAGGTTGGTTCCTCGTTGCTGTGTGACCCCCAGCCCCCAGGCCCTGGGCTGAAAGGGGAGGGATGCAGCTATCACGCTCTGACCCGGGCGAGCAGGCTCCTAACCCAAGGATCTGTGACTCGGAGTCCACACTAGCTCCCCGGCACCAGAATTTCCGAATGTGCGTGCGTGATTCAGGCTCAGCACGGGAGCCTTCTCAGGCTCTCAGAGTGACCCCATAGCACGATGGGAGTCCTGAGCGGCTCGGCTGGCCCTGGCCCTGGCCCTGGCCCTGGCCCTGGCCCTGGCCCTGCGGAAGGCAGGTGATGTGCCTCCTGCCTGCAGCCAGGCCCTCATGCCTCCCGCTCAGGTCTCTCTAGGCCTGGCCCCCGCTCTGGTTCAGCTGGCACTTTTCCGAGGCCCAAGTTGACCTCAGTGGGTATTTTGTCACAAGGCGTTGTGCCCTCGAGGGCAGGGAACCTCCAGCCCTTGCGTGTTGCTGGGCGCACGGCAGCAGATGTTTGTTGAATGAATAAATGAGTGAGTGAATGGCTTCCCAGAGTGGAGGGGTGGTGGGAGCCATTGTTGCTTGGTGTTTGCTGTGTGTGGAGCCCAGATGAAGAAGGACAGCCTGCCCAGCCTGATTGGTACCTTCCTTCAGAAGGTGGGCACCCATAGGGTGCAGATGGGAGCCGGCATTTGGGTACCCTTGGACTTCAAGCTGGAGTAATTGGGGACAGTGGCTCTAACCTGGCAAAGCTGTCACTGGGCGGGCAAGGGCCAGTCAGAGCGGGTTCCCAGGTTCTCCACCTCGCTTGCCCCCCACCCCCCATTAAACCAACCCTGTGAGTGCGTCTGGGGTGTGCCGGTTGTGCCTGGCTGTTTGGGCTCACAGAATGGGGGGGGGG